GCACACAACTGTGGCTAAAAGCAGATTTGAGAAAGATCTCAAGAAGGTGAAAGGCCCTCCAGTCTCCCCCAGCCCTCACCCCTTGCCCACTTCAATCCTACCTGCCTGCCCCCTTTTGTGTATTTGGAAAAGAAGAGGTGGGATTCTGTCTTCCACTTTCAGGGAACACAAATCTTTATCTCTAATCTGTTAATGTCACAGGAGGAATGGCGGGTTTAACCCCTTCTACTTCCTCTCCTATCTCTTTCCCCTTTTGTCTATGCATGTGATGTTGGAGGTTAGTAAGACACATGGGTGACTAAGTGTTGGATGATTTGCAGCATTGAAATTTACCCAAATACTCTCCAGATTCTTTTATTTCTGTACTTCAGCCATGACAGTAACCTTAAGTTGAGCCAGTTCTAAGGGTTGGCCTTAGAGAGATAGCATGATATAGCAGAAAATTCACTGAACTGGTGTTGAATAAATGGGTGTGGGTTCTATCTTGACTGCCTCTTGCTGCCAGACTGATTTTGGAAAAGTCTTTCACTTCTCTGGGCCACAGTTTCTCCATCTGTTAAAGTCACTGAGTTGGCCTAAAATGAACTCTTAGGTTCCTTCCAATTCAAACTTTCTATAATACTGTGTCTCATGGACCCACTTCAATCCAAATGGGGTCCTGGGAGATTCAGATTCAACATGGTACCCTTCTTAGGTCCTTAGGTGTGCCCAGGAGTAAAAATGTTCCAGAGAAGGCCCAAAGACTCTCCATACTGTGATGTAAGGCCAGGGCTTTCTGAGACTGTTATTAGAAGTCTGGCACTCTCTCGGCTTTATAAGGGTCTCTCCCAGTAGAGAATGACCTGATGTCTGTCCAGACTATCAAAACTCATGGTTGGAGCAGTCATCGATATGATCCAATGTAATAATCTTACATACTTCATCTACAGTGATAAGGGAAGTATTTAAATAGGTATCTATTACCATATGTCTCTCTCAATGGATTCCCTTTTTCAGAGTAGGATAGTGGAAATTTATAGGATGATAGGAAGAGATATTCATAAGAGCAATATGTCATTTATATAAATCCCTTCAAATGAAATTAAAGTATGGTATTCAGGGGAAATACAGCTTTAAGGATTCAAACCCAAAGTTTAATTTGAAGAATCTTTTTAGTATGTTGTGTATCTGAGTGAGTCTACCAGGTGAACATGAAGTGAAGTTTTTCTTGATCGACTATTTTAAAGATGGAAAATAGAAAGTACATGAGAACTTAGTATTTACTCTGCCAGTATGTTATACAGAAGGGAAGAATTGGGACTTGGAAGTAGGGTAAGAGAAGTGGTTGTGAGTTTGAAGACACGTTTTCCAATTGAGACCACTCATCCCCACCACTCAACTCCAAAGGAGATGGTTCTAAACACCATTGAGCCCTGGCCTGAACCTGACGGAGACTTTACCGTACAGCCTTTGTGACGATTGCCTCAGGCTGCCCTGGAAAGGAAGTAAGTTTGGGGCAAGTTCCAAAAAGAGCTCTCTGATCCAATTTGATTAGAGTGTTAGAATACTGAAGTTTCCCGGGGCACCTGGATGGCTCACTTGGTTAAGCATCTGATTCTTGATTTCAGCTCAGGTCATGATCTCAGGGTCGTGAGGTCAAGACTATGTCATGCTCCACACTGGACACAGAGCCTGCTTAAGATTCTCTTTCTCCCTTTCCCTCTACCCCGACCTCCACCCTTCTTGCTCTCTTTAAAAAAAAAAAAAAAAAAAGGAATGCTGAAGTTTCTAGAGCAGTCCTGAGATAAGGCGTGGGGGGGGGAGGGGGGGAATGGGAGGAAGGGATTATGACATGTGTGTCACCAAACTGGAACTTTTGGGGAGGATGGATGTAGGAAAGGGTAATGAAATATTAGTAAAAGCATTTGGGTCTCCTAATCCTGTCATACTGTTTAACACTATTTTTCTTGATATATAAGGATAGACATGTATATTGTATTCAGGCACCTTGAGCAACAGTGGCTGTGCCTTAAACATTTTGTTTAATCTTTAGTGATGAGACCAGCATGGAATAATTTATACAAAGATAGTGTTCCTATTTTAACTAAAACTTACCAGATAATAAGGAAATACACTTTACCTAAAAATTCTCAAACTAATGGTTTAAAGACCTAAATAGAAAAACTAAAAAGCTGTAAAGTAGTAAAAGAGAACATGAGCACATCTCTCAGAACCTTGGATTTAGCAGTGGTTTCTTAGATATGACACCAAAAGCAAAGGAACAAAGAAAAAAATAAAGTGGACTTCTTCAAAATTAAAAATTTTGTACATCCATGAACTACCAAGAAAGTGAATATACAGCCCACAGAATGCAAGAAAATATGTGCAAATCATTTATTTGATAATGGTCTAGGGCTCATAATATATGAAGAATTCTTACAACAAATAATAAAAAAGACAAAAAACCCAATTAAAAAGTGGGCAAAGGACATTTTTCCAAAGAATATATGCAAATGACCAACATACACATGTAAAGATGCTCAACATCAAAAGTCATTAGGAAAATGCATATCAAAACCATAATGAGATACCATTTTTACACCAGTAGGATGGCTACTATCAAAAACAAAACAATGCAAAACCAAAAATAACAAGTGTCTGTGAGGATATGGAGAGATTAGAACCTTGCTGATGGAATGTAAAACAGTACAGCCAGACTGGAAAACAGTTTGGCAATTCCTCAACAAAGCTAAGCATAGAATTGCCATATGACCCACTAATTCAACTCCTAATTACATACCCCAGAGAACTGAAAGCAGGCATTCAAACAAAAACTTGTATATGGATGTTTATAGAAGTACTATCATGACAGCCAAAGTGTAAATATCAAAATGTCCATCAACTAATGAATGGATTAAAAAAATGTGGTATATCCACACAGTGGAATATTATTTGGTCATAAAAAGGAATGAAATATGATACATGCTATAACATGGAGGAACCTTGAACATTATCCTAAGCGAAACCAGCTAGCCAGACATAAAAGGCCACATATTGATGATTCCATTTACATGGAATGTGCAGAATAGAAAGATCCATAGAGATGGAAAGTAGATTAGTGGTTACTAGGGGCTCGGGAGAGAGAAGAATGGGAAGTTCCTGTTCAAGGGGCATGGGAACTTCATTCAGGGTGATGAAAAACTTCTAGAACTAGATACTGGTGGCATTGTGACCATAGTCAGTGCCAGTAAATTATGCACTTTAAAATGGTTAAAATGGCAAATTTCATATTATGTGTATTTTACCACACACATGAGAAGTTCCTAAACCATATAAACCTTGTAGAAACCCGGGTAATGAAATAACTTTGACAAATGAGCTCAGGTTTGCAAAGGGATTAAATATATTTAAAGCACAGTTTTGGGATTGGGGGAAGCTTCTGGAAGTGAAAATGTGCATGACTGAGGGTCAGGAGTCCTGTGTTCTGGTCCAGGCACTGCTGTTATGTGGCGCAGAGTGAGTCATGTAAACTTTCTGGGCCTCAGTTAGGGGACTTGGACAAATTTTCTCAATCATGTGTGGGACCTTTTCAGATTTCACATACCTTCATACACCCTGGCCCTTTACCCAGTGTGAAGAGTAGACTATTCAAACAGAATGCTCTTCCACCAGGAAAGAGGGTGGGGAGGGTGCAAAGGTGTCTTCTTCGGTAGAGCCTTTGCAATATTTCAAAGTCCTGAAGCTGATTGTGGTAGTCCTCACATTCCTGAGACTATAGGAAGGAGGTTCGCTCATTTCTTCATAAGGAGTCCACTAGCAAACATTTGCTGCACACACTCAGGACTGTGTGGGGCACAGCTGAAAGACACAGAGCCCCTAAATTTGTGGAGCATATATTCTAGAGGGAGGAGATAGCATTAAAGAGCTGAGTACTGAATGTGGTGAGTACCTTGAAGAAGTAGTAAATGCTGCTGAGGATGAGTACTCCAGGCTTAGGGACAGCTGCTCTGAGGAAGCCATGATTGTCCCTGTGGTCTGTGGGGTGACTTGGAATTAACCAGGAAACACGGAAAGGGACAGATTTGCTTTCCTGGTGGAGAGAGAACTGTGAAGAGGACGGGAGAATGGGCTTGGAGAAGATTGTGAATACAGTCTCATGCTTGAATGTCATGCTGAGTTGTGGCCAATGTCACTGAAGTAAAAGGCCAGGGGATGTATCTCCCTCAGACCACAGCGGGCACATCTACCAGCAGACACGCTGCTTTCATGTCCCCACCATACCACTTCCCGCGCTCCGAGCTGTGGAACCAGCAGTAACCACACAGAATCTCTGGAACTGAAAGTGCTCCCCAGTGTCGACTGCGACCTGAAGCCACCATTCCTCAGAGCCCTTAACATCTCCACAGCACAGGGCAGTGTGGGTCACAGAACAAGTGGCTCTGGAGTGTGACACCCAGCATGCTGTGCGGCTGTTGAGAGGATGTTTCTCCTTTTGGTCTTTCAGTTTTCGGCTCATCAAACCAGTAAATCTGGGCTTTGAGGATGGTGGAACTACCAGACTTTTACTTAAAAAGTGGGGACAGACTTTTACTTAAGCCTTTGCAACCATTGTACTCGGCCAAGCCATTGCACGTGTTTGGTGGGTGAACTGGTTCCACTTTGGCAGCGGAGGCCACATTTCCACATGGTGATGGAGCCCAGGGGGAACAGAGAGCTCACACCTGCCAGTTGGCCGCTGTCCTCCTAGGCGCCTGCGCTGCTTTGCAGGGGCACATTTGGAGGGCCCAGAGCTGAACCATAGGTTGTGCCGTGCTCCTGGCTGGCCTGTCTGCTGTGCCGCAGGGGGAAGGGAGCAGTCATAGCTGTGACTCAGGCTACCCCATTAAGGAAAGGAGCTCATCACTAAGTCCCACGTCAGGCATCCCCAGTCCAAACTCAGGTTTAGAAGCTTATGTGTCCCCTTTTCTTTGTAACCATAAATCTATGCTATCAGACTTAATTCTTTTTTCCTTTGCTTTCAGGAGAGTAGATCTGGAGACACAAACAGCTGTGTTGAAGAAATAATTCGGGTAAGGACATTTTGTTTTTACAAATCTTACCAACTGGTTGGACGTAGATTCCAAATAGAAGGAGGCACATGGCTACATTGTCAAAGGAGCCTGTTGTCTGTTAACTGTTTGATGCTTACCTTTTCTGAGGGCAATCATGGAAGTTGCCTAAATGCCACTTTACAAAAACATGGCTTCTTTTCAAAATCTAGGAGTTACCTATCAACCTGATGCCTTTGTATGGGCTGAGGTGACACTGTATTAAAGTCAGAGAACTGGGAGACAGAAGAACAGAGTTGAGATGAAAAATATGGTTGTGCACACATTTAGATGCCCCCATATATCACCCTTCTATTTAGAAGCATCCTTTAATAGTCTATACTTTCCAGTCAGGCAAGGGTTGCCTTGTTATTTTTCTCCTAAACTCAATTGGAATCAGAAGCACTCTGACAAAGAGGTAATGCTCAGTGTCTGGAAATTTATTTCCATATTGTTTTGCATCTTATTGTGTTGCCTCTTACTCCCTGTAAGACTGTCTTTTTCCTCCTCATCATCTCTAGTAGCTACCCTCCATGAACCAGTTTCACACCCAGATTTACTAAGGTTGGGCTCTTCTGCCATATTAATGTTTTCCTGAGTATTCAAACTTATAATCAGGATGTCGTCTTCAACCCATATTTTTTCTTCACTCATATTTTTTCAGGGGAGTAACCTAATAATTTACATTCTCAGAGAGCTGATATTATGCTGGGCAAAACACCAAGACAAATTAGACCAGATGGGATGGCAATTCCCTATAAAGAAAAAAACCTTTATTTTAATATGTTTCTAACTTTTGGACATCCTACACACTTTTTCTTGAATTGCCAGTGAATGACAGTAATATAATTATTTGGTTTTAAAATTTGCATTAATCATCAAATTGTTTTCAGAGGCAGGGTTTTTTTGTTTTGTTTTTTTGCTTCCTGGAAAGCATTATTTCATAAATAAATCTTTAACTCTCAAGTTGACCAAAATAAGAAATTGAAATTTGATCTGTTGAGTTCATAATGATTTTTGTTTTTCTGGCAGAGATTTATATAGAAAACAGTTGTCAAAATGGGTAGCTTCATTTCTGGCATTTAATATATGTTAAATAAAACACATACTGTATTTTGTATCTGTATTATCTCTAACCTGAGGCTTTGTTTCAGATTAAACAACAAATAGTGTAAAGTGCTAATATACTTTTCCTGTTTCTCTTTTGACATACTTTCATGTTTGGAATCCAAATATTCAGTGTTTAAGCCTTCTTCCTTTGATTAGTTACGGTGTTTATGTCAGCAAAATGGTAATACCAGAACATAGCAATCCCTCTTTGGTTTCCCAATTTATAAAATCCTACCCGTTCTTATCCTTTCTTCTCTTTTCTGAGGATATGGTAAAAACCTGTCATTTGACCTTTCTTTTCTGTACTCCAAACCGAGCCTGAAGTTTGAATAAGGGCTTAAGCAATTCACACAGCAAAAGGATATAGTGGAGGTGATATAAAATTCACCTAAAATAAAACTGAATGCTGCAGTCAAGAGTTTAAAGCATTATTTTTTTCTCAAGAGAGCTGATGAAAGCCTTATGCCCCCTGGTCCCATTTCTACTTCCCAATACTGACCCTAATATTCCACGGTGCTGCCGCTACCATGGCCCACTTTGAATCAGGCACGGAACAAACGGGAAAGGCTGGACCAAGCAGATAATTGATTTGGAAACACATGCAAGGTTCAGGGCAACAGAGATGATGATTTCATCAGAAGACAGCTGAGCCCTCTCCAAGTTCTGGTCTTCCCAGAGCCCGTGAGGTGTGGTCCAGAATGGAAAATGGTATAGACTCAGAGGAAACAGAGGTGATGGTGGTGTCCAGGTGGGCCTTTTCTCTGCCCTCACCTATCAGCCTGATGTGTTAGTAGTAGTAGTCGGTACTGAGGGAGCTCCTAGAGGATCATGTCCGTGTTCCCAGTTTTGCCCAGAATGTTTTCCTGGTTGTCCCCTGCCTCGCACACACCAGTCATTCTCCAGGGTTGTCTCCCTCTCTTGTCCTAAGCACGTCCTCTCCAAACACAAGCATGGGACTCCTTCTCCATTACAGCCAATGGTATGTATTGTCTATCTGCCACATGTTGGTCTTCCTCCCATACTGTGGCCCTGACGTCTGGAACTGAGAATCACGACTTTGTAGAATGAATAAATGAATGAGTGATTGAGTGAAGGAATCCTCTAAGGGAGAACGAAGAATATCATTGTGATAGCTCACAGATTCCATTTGCTCTAAATCATAGACATTACTTACTGGCCTTTTTAGCCCTGGGTTCCTTCCCGTGGATAGTCTTTGTGGGCCCTAGTTTTCCTTATCACTTTCTCTCCCCCTTGTGATCAGCTCAGGTAAACCTGATGTGGTCAAGGTCACCAAGGTACTCGTTATATGGAGCCATCACATAAAAGTGATCACTCTCTCTTATTGTGGAGAATAAGCAGGTCATGAAAGTGCCTTAAAATAATGAAAATTGAGATATTCACTTAACAAGTGTTAGCATGCCCTTTCCACGTGGGAGGTACTGGGAAAATAATAGTGGGCCAAGCAGATATGACGCTCTTGAAACTAACCATGTGCTGGAGGATATAGATACTAGGTTTTATTTTTAATCTTGTAAATAAATGTCTAATGTTAATTGTGATAAGTACTCAGGGTTCCATGAGAGCCCACCATAGGGCACATGACCTCATTTTAGGTCAAGAACAGCTTCCCTGAGGAAGCAATATTTGGACTAATAGTTGGAGGATGAATAGGAAACTGACCTAAGAAGAAGAATATTGAGGCTGCATGCAGAGGAACAGGAAGGGTTTGGCTAATTAGGGACCCAGAAAGGACAATGAGGCCAGAGTAGCTAGAGAGTAGTGGCAAAAGCCAGGCAGGACAAGCCAAGTAGGGCTGTGCCTTCTCAGCTCTGTCCAAGATAAGCTTAAGGGGGGCAGTGAAAGAATATAAGCCAGAATGATGTGATCAGATTGGCCATTTAGATACTCTACTCTGACTGCTATGCAGAATGGATTGAGGGGAGGAGGGGGAAGAAGAGAGGAGTGAGAGGCTGTTGCAGCTGCCCAGATGAGGGATGCTTGGTGGGGCACTCACAAGCATGGGAACATCGAGGGAAATGCGAGTTTGTGGGGGGAGGGATGAAATCATACATTAATTTTTTGACATGTTGAGTTTGAAGTACCTTTGAGACAGTCCAGGAAACATGGAGACTATAGAGGAGTATACATTGGTCTGGTGCTCAGAACAGTGGTCTAAGCAGCAGGCCAATGTTTTGGACTAATTAGCATGTTGGTAATAAAACCATAGAAATGGGTAAACTTGCCTGGAGAGAGACAAGAGAAGCAATGAGAGCCAAAATTCCAACATTTAAGGGCCAAGGCGAGTAGGATCCACTAGCAAATGAAAGGGAGAGGGTGTGACTTGGGAAGTTGAGGGATAATGGTGGCCATGGGAGGTCCCAGAACCCAGGGAAAGAGAGTTTCAAGCTCAACAGTGCACAGGACTTCTGAGACTCCAAGAGAGACGAGGATTGAAAACCACTCCATGGACTGGACAACAAAAAGCTCATCAGTGACTTTATTGAGTGCTGTTTCTGTGCAGTAAAAGGAGCAGCATCCAGACAAGAGAAGACTGAGAACATGAAGTCGGGGAGTCGAGAGACCTTTTGTGAGGAGAGGCCACGGTTTCCATCCAGGGCCTCTCCATTTGTAAACGACCCTGTAGATAAGAACAAGTACCAAATGATGGAACACATTTTATGGAATTTATGGGACACTTAATACGGATGAGGTACTGTTCTCAGTTTCTTGCATGTATTAGCTCCTTTAGCCATCACAGATGCCCCATGAGGCAGGGACTGTTAACATCCCCATTTTACAGACAAAGAAATCTAAACACAGCTTGCCCAAGGTCACACAACTAGAAAGTGGTAGAGCTGGGATTTTAACGAGCACCGTCTGGCACCAGCACCCTCTCTATCTTCTCTACTGAGCTTTCTTATTAAATGAAGAAATCCCCCTGGCTCAATAATGAAACCACTCAGGCATTTTGCTGTGAAAGGGAGGTTTCCCATTTCCTCATGTTTATGATTCAGAAGTGCCAGATCATGCATTTGTGCACTTGAACTCACAGAGGTTTTATGGCCAATGTTATCAACCTCATCTTTAAACTTCTTTTTCCTCTCCCCCTCTCTTATTTTTGCTGAGGTGACTGTTTTCAAGTCATTTGAATATTACATTATATTCTAAAGTGTAATTATTTTTTACTCTTACTCAGAGAATTCTAATCCTGGGACCTAATAAATCTGTGTATTATTGCAAAATTCACTTAACCAAGGGAGAAATTATAACCGAGTTCTATGAAGATGGGTGATAAGAGCTAGGAGCCCTCATGGCTGACATATGTTTGTAACAGACAGTTTTGTAAGTTATACTATATTTCATTCTTAAAGGTTCCAGTGCTGTAATACTTAGGTGCTTTTCGTAGTATTATCCATTAACGTAGAATGGCATTAACATTTGTTCAGCAAATAAAATCCGTTTACAACCTAATGGGGTTGTGCAGGGCTAGAATCTAGGATGCACAAATTTTATGCAAGACAGGTTTAGATGGCAGGTGTTGAGGGGCACTGCTCATAGCATAGTGAGTCTTCCTAATAAGAGACCAGTGTTGGAGATTCTGGTTTGGACTTAAAGGATGACGTTAGAGACAATTTCAGGGTAACATCTGAGCAGATTATTTTCTTGGTTTTTACCTTTAGTCACTAATTTAATTCCAATTTCCTATGTGATATTTATAGTGAATATTTACATAGAGTTGCATTTCTGTTGATAGGAAGGGGGTAACTGGTACTTGTTTAAATTCTGGGGGCTCAAATCAGTTTCCTGACACTACAATTGAACAGACTTCCAGCAAATAAAGGAACTCCTTTTCTAGATACTCCTAGATAAGG